ATCGTGTATCGCTGTGACGAGGACGTCCAGGAGGATTTAGGACCGTGTCATTGAAACTGGATTGTCGAAGAACCCTTTTCCGCCACGCTATTGTAGCTCTATTTAAAAAGGAGATCGATGCTCACTCTCAGTTTGCTGCTTTCTCACCGATCTTCACGTTCAGTTTCTCAAGCAGACGAACACTAACAGCAACAGCCCTTTCGAAACAGAATTTTCATTCAGTCAAAAGGAGCAAAGTTCTCGAACGCGTGTCCCTTTCTGTTGCGAAATCACGTGTGTGAAATCACGAAAGTTTGCCGAAAGCCAAAGATACCAGAGATAAGATTCTGGACAGCGAGTTATCGCGATTACGCGATAATGATACGCGAGAGGAATCAAGGGACGTCTTTATTCGTGGCGGGGCAATTTGTTTCGAACAATCGTACAATCCCAAAGTCATTCACACTTTATCGGTGGACCAACAGAGACCACCCGCGTCGTCGGCTTTGCCAAAGGAAATCCCTTGTCTCGAGAGCCTTTAAAGACTTTGAAACAACATATACCTGCAGCGCACCTGCCGCATCGAGGCAACAGTGTTCGGTGTGTTTGTACAGAATTAGTAGAAAGGCGACTTTGAAAAAGTAAAAGAGAAAAGAAGGGTGGTGACTACGAAGGGGGAGCGAGGGGGGGGGGAGAGAATGTGGAGAATGTGGAAGTAAATGGAGAGACTCGAAACAGCTCGAGAGAACGTAAACTTACGGCCTGAAGCACTGCGCCGTGTCTTCTCTCGTGTTTGGAAAGAAGCACGACTTGTTTGCTCGTGCGACGGCCTTTTCCTATCCTATGTGATTGCATCAACAAGAATGCAGAGGAACACAAGCCACACGGACGATACGTGCGTAAAAGCAGAAGTGTAAAAAAGCACCTTGATGTCTAAGATATTCGTGGATAAAGTCGATGGATAATCTCAGATTGAAATTTTATCGACACGTCACGCGAGACAGTGATGAAAACATTCACAGTGTACATACGTGCATATTTAGACCGAGGAAAGTTGACATATACACGCACCATACACACACACACACACACATACACACGTGCGCGCGCAGAAGAATATTTTGCATAAATTTTGCACAACGGTTTTGCATAGACAAATATTGCGAAACACGTCGGGGGAAAATATGCTTGAAACAGATAGAATACTGAGGTGTGTGATTATTGCATAATTCAACGGATAAGAGGCAAGACCAATGCGATATTCGAAACGATGAGGCATCCTATCACAAACAAGAGAGAGAGAGAGAGAGAGAGATATCGATTGTTTGGGCGTTTCGTTTTAAATCGAGTCGGACAAGCGTGATAGACGAATGCTGATTTCGAATGTGGGATGAAGCCTTTTGATCTTCGACGGCTCCCTCGCCTCGTTAAGAGTTCTCTCTCAACGAGAATACAGCGACGCGCAGGTAAACGAGGTTATCAATTAAACGAGATTCTACCTGGCATGATTGAAATTAAGGTTTAGTCGTTACAGCGTCGACACAGCGATAACTGAATATATACCGTGAAACGAGCGAAGCGTTTCAATTGGAATGTCATTAATCATAGTGATCAATCCATGAATCCTAATATATTGTACAAAATAATTAGAAGATTTAAATTACATATTCAAACAACGGTGATCGCAACGTGCGGCACTCTCTCTTTCGAAAATCGATATGCTATCCCGATACGAAACGATAAATTATTTTCGCTTAAGTAACGAACGTATATATAGATTATTTTTGTTTCGAGTAATCTTCTAGGTTTTCGACATTCGATCCTTTAAATATAAATAATTTACCGACGTTCACCGCTGTAGCTGTGCACCTTGTGCACATTAAAATGTGTACGCATGCACAGCGTAAGAAAGAGGAAGTCTTATTAAAACAGCTGTCCACAACTTGAAAAAAGAAAGTGAGAGAGAGAGAGAGAGAGAGAGAGAGAGAGAGAAAAGAGAGAACCAAAAAATTCTGGAAGGAACTATTTACACGTTTCACGCCTCGATTCCATTTCAAGCGTTTTTCTAACACAAAGAAACATCGTTCACCCGGTTACTGAGAGCTCGTAGAAAATAAACGCGAACGCGGCTGGAACACGATGAGCCTCCCTCATCAAACATTTCCTATTCCAGGTGTGGTTCAAGAACCGACGTGCCAAGTGGCGTAAACAGAAACGGGAAGAGCAGGAACGTATGCGGAAACTTCAACTGGAACAACGTCAGCGCGCCGACGACAACGTTCCAACGCCTACGGTCAAAGTGGCCGAACATTTGACGCTGGCCAGGCAGCAACAGCAACAGCAACAACACGAACAAGACACCGACAGCTCGGACCTGGAAGTGGCGTAGTCAAGATATCGGTTGTAAAATTCTCTCTATCGGTTTCTCTCCTGTCTTTTCGTTCCCCTTTCTCTCTCTCTCTCTCTCTCTCTCTTTTTTTCTCTTTTTTTT